TATATATATATAAAATATTTTCAGTTTCGTTTTAATCTTCCGTTTTTACTATTGAAAAGTACAATTTACAAAAATCAAATAGCATGGGATTTATGCCTGTAACTAGAAGAATTGCTCAAAACTGGTTAATGAAGTTAAAAAATGGCACCGAGGTCGATGAGGACCAACCGATGGCATTTTTGAAAAAGCCGACAATTTATTAATTGGAATGGCATTGCAAGATATGCTTAAGCCCAGAGTTAAGCAGATCTCTTTCCCAAGAAGACGATGGTCTGCGTTTGATGGGACAATAAAGCGCTAAGAAATGCTCGAGAAGAACAGGATGTCCGAGAAAAACCCGTAAATGGCCTACTTGCATTGAGTACGTAAACAGAAGAAGTCCCAGAAAAAAGGCAAGTCCTTTTCTATAACAATACCTGGCCGCACATAACGAAGACTTTGACAGCCACCCTGCAAGAACATGAATCGAAAGTTCTTCTGCAGTCACCACATACTTTAAACTTCGCTCTGACGGATTATAATTTCTTCCGAGCAGTGGCTAGTGAAATTAGTCTACGTTTTACAATAAACAGAGTTTCGGGACCTTGCTGGACTAGTTTTTTTTAATATCGTACTTTGAAAATTCTGTCGTGAGAGAACAAGCAAACTGGAGGAACAGAGGGGAATCGTAAGTAGTGACAGTGACTATATACTAATCTTTTGTGGAAAACGCAGTTTTTTTGTTGGATGAAAACTCTAGAATTATTTATATTCCAAATTAACAGTCAAAAAACATTCAAGGGGCTGATCATGAACAATGAACTGTGTGACAAACGCGTCTCCAACTGAGAGGAACGTAATTAAGCATAATCACATTTGTCACCCTTACTAAGAAGCATCGTGTTGAAAGGTTCTTGATACCATGATACAAGCTATGTAAATGCTACACTCTCAGCATATCTAAGCGGTCTCTCTAAAAAACATCACCTCTCGTAACTCTAAGGCTACGAGGAAAAATAATTTGCTTATCTATTTTCCATTAAAACTATTGTGACACTAACTTGATGACAGGCTTTTTTTTGGGATAGCTATGGGATTTAGATGACAAAATATGTTGACGAAAAAAAAAGTTACAATTTTTATGAAAAAACAAAGCGATAATTTATCCTTTCGATTAGACTTATGTAATATATCATTCGTACTTAGATGCATATCTTAGAATGAAACTATTGTTTTATAATAATAACTCGATCACGCTGGAAGACATGTTATTTCGTATACCTGAGCGTCCGCCTCCTGCAGCAATATCGCTATATCCTCGGCCATTTTGTGTAGTCGTGCTAACTGATTATTTAAATCTGAAACAGCCGTTCGTCGCGTGTGAAAACGTGCACAAGACTCGATCACGTCGGGTGGAAGCGATGGCTTGACCTGCAAATAAAAATGATGATAAAACAGAAGTTGTTGTAGGATCGACTAGAGATTTTATTACACCCGCAAATGCATTCTTTCAACAGAACGTATTAGCCCAAACCATAAAAAGTGGATAACACTAACAAGTATGGCTTTGAGCGTATTATGATCCATGCTGAGATTACTTTCATAAGCAGCCAATTCTGCATTTTTGTCTTCCACGTTATCGGAGATCCTTCGCAAAATTTGCGCCTTTTTTTCAGAGTAGATCGAAGACGCTTCATGAGCGCCCATAGGAATTAGTGATGCAAATAGATCAGGTCCAGAAATCTGCAATAAAACATGTTTAAAAGCAGCGTACATTATGTTTGTAAGGTGAGCACACGGTTTTCGGCTTATTACTAAGGTGCGCATGTCTATGCATTTTTCATGTGATTTGCGAATTTAAATTTAATGAAATTTTATGAAACATTTTCATGTTCATTCAGCAACTTTTCGACACTTTAAATGAATATTATTGCGCCAGACCTGGGCCAGAAATAAGTTTGTTTCGGATGATTATTTTTCATTTGTTACAACGTAAAATAAAAGATCGTTACCTCGGGATCACAGGGATCAAATGGGATTCCTTTAACGAGGACAGCACCTTTCACCTCAGGAAGACTTTCGGCCGCTGGCACTTTATCGTGGTACACGAAGTCATTCTCTTTTTCAGCGGCGTTTAGTTTGCCCCCTATGTCCGACATAAGAACAGCATTTACTCTTCCGCGCAAGTCTTGCATTAACTAATTCTTCCCCAAACCGCTATTATTTTTTGAACACCAAAGAACATAAATTTGAGACAATTAGGAAAATGGAAGCTCACCGATGACATCCACTGTGAAAGAAAGCATATCGTCGATGCTGAGGTCTCTGGCTGCATGCAAGGCATCTGTGAGTAGTCGCATAGCGTCTCTGTACCACGCCACCCGAAGCCCGTAGGCTCTTTCCTCTTCTGCGCCCATACCCATATGCAATGCTGCCACCGCCCCATAATACGAAGCCTAAGTGATTACATATCATACAATGATTTCAAGTCAAAAAGGTTTTACAACTAACGCTACTACTGATAGATGATACCGTGGTAATGTGCTTGCTTACTAAATTTCGGGATACGTGAAATCGTCTAGGTTCGAAGCTGAGCACCTGTAACAACGCTTAACAGCACTACTGAACGTAAAATTCTGAACAACTATAACTAACAGATTCTTTTTATATATGTGTATATATCTACCTAGTTAAATAACAGGAAGTGCGAAAAAAAAGGTCTGAGAGATAATCATACTGGAAGCACGCACATATAAGTGGCTGTGATCGACTCACATTCATTTTGCAGATCCGCCTCCACTGGAGATAAATCTTTGACCCGACAATTTGCTTGATGTCAGCCGTTAAATGGTTCATTGCCTTCCCATAGAAGTCCACGATTTGTGCAGCAATCTGAAGTGCAATTATTCCTGGATCTTTAAGTATAAAAAGCTCGCTAAACGAGTATGATCATTGTTCTCACTGTACGTTCTAGATCATTATTTTTATTTATGTACGAATTCTTTGAAATGACACGATGGAAATGAAGTCAAGTTAGAGCTCAAGCTGCTGAAACTGTAGACCCATTTAGAAGTTAGGATCGTCAAAAAAAATATTTTTGATGGTGTTGATCATAACCTTTATATCCTCATAGTACCTTGTACACCATGAGCTCGCGAGGTGCTAAGGGGAACTTCCCTTGAGTAATGTAGATGTTTGGAAAAATTTCGATTTCATTTTATTTAAGTTCAAATTTTAAAAAACAACATTTTCGATTTCAACTACCTTTTTTCAAGAAGATTATGCCTAATCTTTTTTATGTCTATTTACTTTATGTCTAAGAAGTCGCATTAGAACTCGTTCTATTGGATGTATTCACCGTCTACATTCAAATTTCTTAATGAGATACCCGCTTTTAAGATATTATTTATAATACATTTGTTATTTGTGTCCGGATTATTGCACAATTGTTCAGAAGACCCTTCGGAGGCATAGATATCCGGGTGTGTAGGCTCAATATGCAATGCTATCCAGTAGCTCGGCGGGCCTCCGCAAAATCTCAGTTGTTCTGAGAGAATGCAACTACTGACAATTGGCTGGTTTAACCAGAATATCGAGAGTTCTTTCTTGTTTCACCCTCCTAAAGCCTTTAACAGTAGCTCGTTGTCGGCGACAACCGAATGCACCTGAAATCCTACTGAATTCCAGGTTATCATGCGCGTATTACTTGGAGAAGTGCCTGCAAGCAACGCGTGATGCCAAATGTTCACGTCCCGCCGCCGAACGTTCGCCTGTAGTTCTATTGCACTATAGTGTTTGGACTCTCGTATCAATCCATGGAGTGCTACCTACAAAGTAAAAAGGACATTGCGAAAAGGCAGGCAAATGCTTTGTTCTACAGTACCTTTGCTGAGATAGTAGGCTTTCGGTTGTCGAGCAGAGATTTCTCCAGGATGCATTCCTGCGACTGGCCCAGCATTACAAGCGAATAGAATGTAAGAAGGTCGTGTGACAGGTCGCAACCCTGGAAACAAAGAGCCAGTACAATTTTTTTATGAAATCACTTATCTACGCGATTCACAATGAGGCGAGTCAGATATAGCACAAAAAATATATGTGACATCTATGTTAGGTCAATTTTATTCTAATGTGTTAGGGAATTTTAAATTATTATCTGAACCTAAAACAGCAATGATCCTAAAACTTCCCTCCATGATTATACTTTTTATTACAAAACTACATTAAACATGCACCTAAGTAAGAACCAATCCGGTCATACATCCTACTATCAAGTTGTCAACAATTGATTTCCTGAAATTCAATAGAAATAAGCCTTGAACACTGGCTGACCTTTGGTTGAGGGTACGAATCTCGATTGTGCTGAAATGCCCAAGCCGCCATTTGAAAATGAGCGCAAGCACTTTTCATTCCCTCAGCGCCTGTACGATCCTCGAGAGCTCCCAGCTGGGAATGGAGCGCGCCGATATTGTAGAGGATTGAGGACAATTCATATTTCACATCTGCTATATTAAACGCACGACCTATCGAACATGTGTCGCATAGATCAAAAATAAGATTTGTTGGTTAACTTCCTTCTCGAACTGTTATTAATAATAGTCGGCTATACAATTTTCCTGGAAAATATAATTTGTCAATACAACTATAGTTGAAAGTTTTCTTGTTAATGCTTAAAAACAAATAGGGTAAGTTACCTGAATAGAGATCTGTCCACATAAAAGCAACACAAGCAGCCCCGTCGTCTGTCATCGGGAACCGATTTTGTAGCGATCGGAGTTGCGAGTAGTATCGCTTCAGAACGGTTACACCGGCGACGTCCTTCGATGCTGAACATGCCGCCTAAACAGTGCACACGGGACGCCTTGTAATAACTGCGCAGGGTTTAGATCAACCTGACTAAAATTTGAGTTCATTTGCTTAATTGAGCTGGATAATAATGTAGCAAGTTAGCATAGTATGTTTTATCACTTCACCCGAAACCTTTAATATTTGATAGATTCGAGGGAGATTTTAGCGTGTAGCCCGACGGCGCAAGCTGCTTATTTGGATATTTCATTCTGTCGATCGTGTAGAAAAATATACTTGTGACATTACGAATACAACTTTATTACTTTAGAAAAATCAACGATCTCACTCTCAGTGTTCTCATGAGCCCAAAACGAGAGGTCGTCTTTCGAAGCAGGTAAATTATAAAGATGAAATAATTATAATAGCTTTTATGAGAAAAAAAACAGAATATTACAAAAGGAACAAGGCATACCACGCGCAGCTGTTCCATATCGTGAATTGCCTTTGAAAAATTAGAAGGATCTTCATTGTAGAAACCGGCAATGAACTGAAATAAAGAATTGCAAAGTTGTTGGTTAATTCATAACTAACGTCTTTGAAAATTATATTTCTTAAAAACGCAGATCTGCACTGACTGCGAATGAAGCCTGTACATAGAGCTTCGATGGGCTAACGGAATGAATCATTTTAAATGAGCTAATATATTGTACAATTGTACCCATCACATAATTTTTGTTTCCAAGATTTTAGGGATTTTATTGTATGAGTGAAAGCTGGTTTAAAAATACAGGCGAGCCTATTTAAATTGTCACTTTTTGACATTTTCATTTTAAAAATGGTTTTAAACGGAAACAAATGCATGGTTCATAAATATGCAGTTTTTTCAAGCAGGGCATCTTTGACGGACGCGTCTGTCAAATTCAATCGCTAACGCTTTAATCATCGCTTCCGTTCGAAGCCTCAACCGCTCCCATGCCAGTTTTAAAACAAAAAAAAAAAAAAGGTTGTTCTAAAATATTGTTTTTTTAACTAGACGGTTTTAAAGTCATATATCTCTGATAATATGAGTCGCGTTACTGTGACGAAAAAGTTGAGATTCGGCAGTAGTTGATGTGTTAAAATTGTTGGAATCAGACTCGGGATGAAGTGTTTTGAAGATGACTGAAATTCCTGTGACAATGAACCATAGTTTGTGATCTTATCACGATAAAGGTACAGATGCTGCCTATGTCCGCGGAAAATATGAGTTGTTTATGGTCAAGGCGTATTACGACAAGAAAGGACCAAAGATGATTTTGTCGCTTTCGTTTTGAAAATGTACATGTGAAGAATGAATTTTGCAAAAATTTGATGAAATATTGCAAAAGCTGAGCAAGACTAACCCGTTACTAGCCGTCACATAAGCTAAAGAAGTAGATCACCAAAACATTAAAAAAGAATAAACCGGAACTAGTCAACAGAAAAGGCATCATCTGGTTCGGTTTCTGAACTCTGTTAATACTGTTAGTTTAGTTTCAATAGAGCAATACAGGAAGTCATTTGTCACAGTGTTTCACTTAGAAACCATAAAATTCTACCCTGATATGAATTACGGTGTTAGCGGAAAAGTGGCTGAAGCTGATTGATCATAAACGTACATATTTAGTCTTTAAGAGTCTCGGACAGTTTGAGACCTTACATTGTACATCTGGAAGAGAGTTGGCATAGTGAGACATAGTGTTTGTAAATACGAGTGTATTATAGTATAGTGACATTACATGCAACTCCAGCGCAGTTCAGAAATAATCGTTTTATTAATAAGAGCAGTGTCAAAATGTTTCGAAAGTTACCGTAAAAGTTACTTATACGATATTCCCCTCTTCTTCCGGTTGTGTCGATATCTGACCTTTCTTTTTATATCTATACTGAACCTGTGGATGTTTTTGAAGCTTCTTTTAAGAACTGTGCCAAGCAAATACACCTTGCAAGCATCGGGTAACATTTTTCGAATAATGTAACTTGAGTAGAACGGAAAAGTGAATTTGAGTTGTCAATACGTAAATGAATTTCATCAAATAGGTACGTCACGACGGTACAATTAAAAAAAAACTAACCATCTAGAGACGTTAACAAAGCGTCGCAACCAGATGGAGTTTGTTTCTAAATGTATGAAACATATGATGCAAAACGTTACCGTTTAAAAAACGAACAAAGATTTCTTGGTTAGCATTGATCGTACAACGACGTCCTAACTCAACGTTTATTGCAACGATAATAAAAATGAAAGTAACAAAAAAAGCGTAGATTACGCACTATATGGTTACGCTTGCGAATATTGCCGCATTTGAGGAGCAGTAAAAGTACAACCGATATTTATGATTACCCCCCGAAGCGAAAACCTAGTGCATTTCAGATTGGCTAAGTGATACACTATCGGTTGCTAGGTGCACTGCCCACACCCGTGGATGCTTGTAGTGTAGTTGAGTCACGCCGTCTACGTTAAATGCGTTAGAATTATGACGTCAGAGTTCGTCGTCGCAGTGTCGATACCAAAATAAACCTTTTCTGCCTAGTTGTTACGTAACCCTTTGCGGCGTGCCCTGTCAAAGCATCTAGTATTTAGTACTCACTTTCTTCAGTGGATGACTAAACTCGGCCGGTTTGGGGCTATGTTTAAGCTCAAAGCAAAGCATTTGCAGTCGCGGAGCGGCCTCCATCTTCAACTAATGCTCTCGTTGAATTGTCACACTGTCGCCCTCAGCTGCTGCGTGCTGTCAGAGATATCATATAACAAAATGCGACGATTTTATAGTCAACGTTGCGACGATGTGATGTGGAAGATCTATGACGTTCCGGTGGGACGCAGCTTTCTCCGTGATGCCTGGATGTTTGCTTTTATCCACAATAATGTCGACAAACCCACAATTGCCGGTCAATGGAAAATTACTTTTCCCCTAGACATTTAGATGGGACGAAGTGTGTGTTAAGTACATACATTACATAGGGATTCTATTTAACTGCACGGATACGTCACGCACTGAACAGAATAATTCAACGACACTGCTTGGAGATTGCCAGATGTTCACACGCGCTATTTTTTTCGAAGGGTCTTTTTTACAGGGCAGTACATATTTGGCACTGCAGAGTCCGCTTGTCATTGAATGTGTTCACCAGAGTGACAAAAATTCAGTAGCTGTTTTTTTTTTTAGGGGGTTCAAGTGAGAGCTCTGTACAACTGTTGCTAGGGGCAATTTCATGCATGATATGTCGGTGAAGTATTTGCAAGTGGACACTAAGATCCCTTCACCGAACCTGTATGTTGCCTACTGTTATCCCTCAATTAACTATACGATGATCCAATGGCGATACTTCATTCACTCACTACTTAGCCAGTCGAAACGGGACGACGACAGCAGTCGCTTGTGCTGTTCTTTGTCTATCCGTTCCCAATTCTCTTTCACCAATCGGCAACTATTGCTAGGCTTGCTTCCAGCGTTAATATCACATCCACACAGTGGTTGACAGCGACCGAGGCCACATAGGCCGCTTCGCCCAGCTGCCCAGTCACACACAGAGACACTGTACAGGCCGTTTATCTATGCATCGTCGATAGCTGACAACTCTCGGCTGGCTCGCCCGTTAGATAGTGACTGTAGTCTTTCCCAGAACAGCTGTAAAAAGCTTGTGTGTCGATGATAGTACAACTGCCCTCTCCTGAATGGGCGATTGCTGCGGAACCTTCCTGAGTTCTTTGACGGATAATGACTAACTAGCATTTACAAATCGACGCATACATAAGACAGAAACCGGCGCTGAGAAAGGGCTATTGCGCCGATTATTACAGTGAAAGAAATTATGATTAAATGCGAGGCAAAATATCGAGGGGGAACGCTCTGTTGTTGAAGGCTCGGCTGCCAAACGGTGCTAAATATGGCAGGTTGGCTGAATTAACGAAACGAGACTGCGTACTGAGAAAGTGGTAAGCGTACGTTTAAACCACGGTCCAGCTGAAATAAAAGCGATACAGAGATATTATATCTATACACAGACATTTCAAAACAAAAAAAAAAATGCTCAATGTGTGTGACTTAGCCGGTCACTTATAGAATAGTCAGATCATTTATTTACGAAGAAAAAAATATAAAGCAATCGGTACGCTATTAAAAATGGAAATCTGATGAGAATTTTTGAAACTATCTAAACCAAACTAAAGTGAATAACCACTGGATAAGCGTTTGGAAGACTCGGATTGTAGTGAAGGTGCACAGATCAAATACGACACTTTCTGCTTTAGGGCAAACTAAATGATGAAAGAATATTCTTAGGTTCACTAAAATAAATCCAAACGAATTAACGTCAGTTGTGAAATCCTGCTTTAGTAAAATGGCTGACCGGTATAGTGTATTTTCAAAAGAAAAAAAAAAAAAGACTTGTTAAAACTATTCTCTAGTGAGAAAGATCATATATAATTGTTTCGTCTACCGTAAGTGTATATGGAATAAAATACATCTAATTGCCTTTGTAGTAGTTCCAAGGCAGCTGGATATCTGATTAAAGAAATGATTTTGAGGCATCGTTTATGAAATAACTTTTATTGTACCGAAGCTGAATTTCTAAAAATTGTGCAAACGGAATATTGTGCATCTTGACAGTATCATTTTGCTCTGCGATAAGTGTATCTGCTATCATCTATTCGCTGAGCTTTCGTACTATGTCCTCATCGTAAGTGTTGAGGAGACTCACAAAGGACTGGTGGATGTTTCGTAGGATGTCATCACACCTTATGATTCCCAACGGGTTTTTAAATAGATGCAGTGGATGACCATCACAAGTATTTCACTTTTACATTAAATGTCTTAACTTAAATTCAATCAGTTTAAAAGTAGTCACCAAAAACCTAATGGTAGCTCATGCTATAAAAATGGGTATCTCAAGAATAAAAAAATAGTGACCCAAACCCAAACTACTCTGATACCGTTGGGGATGTCAGCCATCCTAAATAGGTAGTTAGCCAAATAGGCTATTTAAGTTGTTGGAGCTCATTGTCACTAGGGTCATATAAATAATTAAGAATAACGGCTATAATAATATATTTAGTCCAGTAATAACAAACAGCGTGGCTTGAGTCAAAACGCAGAGATTCCACAATAACAATTTGCTCGTTACTAGTGTGTAAAAACATTATTCGTTCATTTAGTGACTGTTGTATCACAAACATCAATAACACGAACATGCAGACGATATGTGTATAATTATCACAATCTGCTTGCAAAAACAAGACGCGCTGTTCATTCAACATACCCTTTGCGTTTTCACGCAGCAGTTGCAAAGCGTTGTCTTAAGAAGCCTATTGATCGTAGCACTAGGGTCGCTAGAAAGAGGCTTCTCTTCGTGATCAGCTTATACGCGTCCTGATCCTCACGAACACAACAAACGACTTAAGCATAAAAAGGCTTAAATACAACAATGTTCAATTTAGTGAGCGTATAATGAGCACTTATAGATCTTATTGCTAGTTAGATGACTGGATGCGCATTTCCCTTTTTTTTAAAACTAACAATACTTAAGTCGGTAGCAGCCCAGAAAAAAATTCTGGCGAAAACCGCTCATCTGCGTTAAGCACGAAAAACTTGTAGATTTTTGAGACTAACTAACGGTGGAGTATGACGAACACATTATTTAATAGCATCGTGTATGGTCAAGGAAGCGAAACACAAATAGGATTTGATTTCATTTGTTTTTTTATCCAAGTTCCCTCACCCTGAGTTCCAGAAGTATTGCTCCAGTACCACCGAAGTTTCTCCAATTAATTACGTAAACAAACATGTAGGTGAAATTTTCAACTGGACGCTGATGGTATATAACCTAATTATCAGGCACTATCGTAAAAAGACCCGAGTTTCCTATTCAGTAATACGTGACTAAGCTTTTAATCGTGTGTTGCAAATGGAGCGTCGAAGCTTTAGCTGCGAGGCGAAAGATCGCTTCCGGTTATTCCTTACTCTTTCAACAAAAGCAAACATGTTATTTATTATTTAGTAGAGCACGTTAGTTAGGCGATTCGGAAGATGTATTAGCAAGGCATCGTTTATGTTTAACTAATAAAATTACCTAAAATAAGACATCAAAGGATGTAATACATTGAAGCTCGACATTTGGCGCTATAGTGAATATTTGAAGGAATAGACTGTAATGAGAACATGATTCGGACTTCCTTCATAGTCTGCTTGCCTAACGCAAATCAACAAAAATACGGATCAATAGAACATAATCAATGTAAAGGGTAAAATGAGGCGTCATCAGAGTCACCATTAGTTATTTCCTTTACTTTGCTAAAGGAACGTTAAATATTTGTGCGGTAGGCACCCCGGTACCGGACCGTGTATTGCTATTGCAAGTCCGTTAGGGTGTAGTATACCAGAATAATCCCAATTACTACTTTAGTTCTATCTGCTCCCTGAATTCGTGTCCCGGCAGAAGCCACGTGGCTCTTTAGCTCCGACCCTGTCCTGCTTTTATACAAAGATTGGTCTACATTGCCGACCTTCAACAATAGAACAAGAAGTGTAAGGATATTTTATAGTTTATAAACATGATTATTATTCTAAAGGGCCATTCAAATGAAAAACTTAAGCTCAAGAGCCAGACATCAAACACTTTAATGAATCGCACAATTAGTCTACGTACAAATATGATGGGTACGTGTAAATACGTAGAGTTCGAATATGCTGACTGCTATGACGGGGCTCACATAACCTGACCCCAGTATTATAAATGAGAGACATTCTACAGCAAATCTGTTTACTGGGGATGGTGTATTGGTATTCTAAAGACCTGCAAGATGATGATACATTAATATCGACAACTCAATCCTTTTTTAGTCAAGGCTGCCGTTACCCGTTTCAATCAAGCCTAATTAAGCCGGTACTGTTGAATACATTAGGTTCATGCATCTGTAAACGAACGAGCATGGGCACACGTTTGGATAATTAGTAATGCCCCCTCCATAACAATTCTACTAGACGCTAATTGCCGCTGGACGGGTAGATGGCGCAGAATGATATACGTAACCGCGATAGAATAGCACCGGTCAATTAAAAACTTACATTGCTTACTGTTATTAGAGATTAATTGACGGATTTAACGAAGCTACTAAACGTGCTTATAGTATGTCTCAACATAGCAAACGGCTCCGCTGTCATAGCATGGCAAAAATCTGGTGAATACAGAGCTTCAAAATGCTTTATTGTCTTCGGAAAATTTTATCTAGCCATTTAAATCTTAAGCGAAGGTAGAGTTTTATCTGCACAGTGTCTATCACTAGAGAGTTTGTCAACAAGTTCTATAATTACTAGATGTACATTTGACGGTATACATTAATTTTGCAGACGATAGACTGTAACAGAGGCTGCACGTCTTGACACAACGTATCTGGGTCACATTTATTATGAGTATTGCAATTACATACGACTCATCCCACAAGAGCATACTCGTGCATTAGTGTATATGAAATCTGAATTTTCCTTCTAATACTATAAAAAACGTTTTAAAAAAGCCGTTTTCTAATTATCACCATTAAATCAAAGAAAAAATTGATAAGCGGCGAGGCATGTACACCGATGGTGAAACATTGAAAAAACAAAACTATGTGTATAAACCTACCTTATCGAGGTACGAGTATTCAAATGGAGCGTAATTAGAAGCGCTCATTACGATCATGGCCGGGGTAGCAAAGCGAGGAAGTTGAAGAACGACTGATTCAGGCTGATACGTACAGCGTTCTCTCATGCCCTGTTAACTTGTTCGCACAAAATTAGGTGAAAATTCGACCGTAACTGAGTTCAAATTAGACATATAAATAACTCTACTCTAGAAATGATTTCACGGTTCGTTAACGGAAAATGATGACCAATCGGAACGTACACATTTTCTGCTTGTTGTGTTTTTCCTTTCTACCAGGTCAGTTCCTCTAATAGAAGCGCCGTACTAAACTGCAGACCGTTTATCGTTTTAGATTATGAGTACGTCCACCAATGAATCATAGCGAAAAACGTACGTTCTAGTTATAACCACCAATATCCGTCTAACTAATGAAAGACTAGTTGATGACAAACTGACCAACTATATGCAGTAAGCGCAAGATATATTCAAACTGCTGAGATTCTAGTAGGGCTTCGGTTATAACCTAGCCGTAAATGTTGCATGCCTATGCTTAAAAAAATGTTATTCCCGGCGAGTCTATTTGTATTTACAATTTAAGGAGTCAAATTCAAACAATTCAAGGGGCTGGCATACATTTGCCAGCAAAGAAGGTTATGGCTCAAGCCATTACGGTAGACGTTTCCAAATTTAGACTTACGCGTTTGGTACTTGTAAATCTTCACCCTGGCAAGGGGGGCCGTTTTCAGTCCACTTGTTACCCATACTAAAAAAAAAACATTTCTATCCTAAAAAGCTATATATTCCATCAATATACAACATCAATATGCACTTGGAACAAATTCTGCATGGTTCAAATATGCACGGTGATAACTTGGCGGTAAAAATATTGGGCTCGATCCCATAACATGGGGTGAGTATGCGGGGCTGATCAACAACGAATTTGAAAATAAAAAAAAAAGTAAGATTTTTGATAATTGGCTTCGAATAGACGCAACTTTTCGTATAACCGTCGTGGAGTTAGATGACATAATTTGCAAGAGGATGCCGTCACTGGACGACCCTCTCGGCCTTCATCACGTAACTCGCTAACACTTTTGAATCTAAGAGAGCGCTTTGATATGGCCGCCACTTTTGAGCGTTGTTAAGTTTGTTCTGTGAACGATAAGAGTGCAGAACGCATGTTCGTTAAGGGGTCAGAATTTGCGAGGATGTAAACGTTTCAACCGACCAGCCAAATCACCTAGAAATATCATGGAAAATTGTCTTTTACAGCAAAACGACAATCTGACTTTTTTTGTACAGGTCGTTGATATCTAACGCCTCCGCAACAATTAGAAGTGCGTTATTTACGATATTCCGATGATTTGCGCCATTCATCAAACGACACACGGCTAAAACAAAAGCTTCTTAATAAATCTCCGAATAAAACATCCAGAGATGTTTTACTCCGTAGGAACTGTACTAATGAAAACCTTTCAGTTTTCAAGAAAGATTAACCAATAATTTACATTCCAATCAGTTACGGACGATAGTGGAAGCTTGCTAAAATGATCATGAATCTTGGATAGATGTTATAGGGAAACATTTAAAATCTACTTCATTTATAGCAATAATCTGACACAAACAAAAGCTGTTTTTATAACTTATTAGTGAAAATCTGTGGATTTGTGCTTCGGAGTAGTTCACATTATAGTAGACGTGGTTGATTTTCGATAGCAATAACTATCCAATAAAAACGGTTAAAAAAAATGCGAAGTTTAAATGTCGGCAGATTAGTAATCGAAATCCTGTTTTAGGTCATGAGTCCTCGTTGAAGAAGGCGGCGAATTCAGGCACCGTTTGTCTGTAGCTACGAAGCTTCACGTACAAGCATTTAACGTCGGCAAACCTCGTCGATGCCAGGAGAATCTTGGTAGCGGTCATGTGATGGATTTCTGATCTCTACTTTCAACATTGAAGAGCAAATATCGACTTTTTCTGATGAGCTTCTCCGATCGGCATCGCAGGCCATCATTCACCCACATAGTCAAACTCAAAGTGGTGCAATCAGGTCACCTGGCTGCAGCATGAAAGGCAAAAGGCCATTTGCCTACCTTGCAAATCTTCAGGGTGTACTGTTTGCCATCATGAGACTATGCACAATACATACAAAATATGTGGTCCTCATACATTAAGCGGTCCCTATTTCTGGCATCTTGCTGGGCTGCTCTTTTCAACACTTGCTCACAGGAAGGCCTCGTACCTACCCGTGGGATCTGGGCATTACTTGCTTTGATTTCCAAAGGAAAAAATCATCTTAAACAACCATCAAGATTCCGCGGTATTGCGATAGAAATCTGCTTCTTCAAGCTTCTAAACTTGCTTTTAACCCAGCGTTATTCCGAGTTCCTATGAAATCGCAAAGTTACCCAGTTACATTACGTTCGACGATCATATCTACTATTATTTCCCGTTAGAACATAGAACTCAAGTCATGGTCATCTAAAATGCCGCTTTATTTCTTTTCATTTATTTACGTTACATTATTTACATAAATGACAAGTCATCATCGAGCTGTCATCGTTTCGACAACACATCGAAATTTACATACTGATACGTAAACTACAAAAGGTACATTCAAACGCTCAGTCACATCAGCTGGAATGGCCAGCCGGTATATAGTCATCACGTAAATCAGTTATCATATCTGAATAGGGTAAGAGTCAATTCGAGCTGGACGGACTGCGGTCAAGTACATCTCCTTAAACTTGTTAGGGTATACGTACAATGCGCAGCAAGCACAGCGTGGCCTCAGTCGTCCCAAGAACTCTCGTAACGGCTGTTCATTGCATGGCTATTTCTCAGTTTCGCTTTATACTGTTACTAGAACGCCACAATCTTGTCACGTAGGAGGGCGAAAAGGTCAAGCTTCGCGAGGAACACTGACAGCTTTTCACTGGCTTCCGCTATGATATGTTGGCGGATCTTTTCCTTGCGGGACGCGATCACCTAAACAAGTTTTACTATGTAAAAAACGACTCCGCTTTTTTATCAGAGTTGGACAAGGCTATATCGTGCAAGCTCAACAGAAACTGCTGTTTCAAGTCTACTAATAAAACACCCGCTTCTATTCATCATTAAAATTCGTTTCTATATAAACTAAGTAGAACTAAATGTTATATAAGGCATAATAAAAATGCAGAAGCCTCGCCTCGACTGTGAGCAAACTCTCGCCTATTACGTCTCTATTTATTGATATGCACTATTCGGTCGAAATGGTCGCTCATATTCAGAGTTCATTCTTATTGAGAAAAGGAAGTAAACAATACTGTAGGGTTGCCTGTTTCAATTACCAACATGACCGCGGCCTTTCTGTTCTATTCGTTTGACCTTTGGGGATGGAAGTAGAGAAAAATTTATCCAGAAAATCCAAGACGCACATTACGATGCTTCGTCTACTTAAACATTTGCAGAGTTCAATGGTACATGCATGGTGATATTCTAGACGTTTTAACGTACCTTATTGACAATTAGCTTTGTCAACCAGTTGAAGAGGAACGAGGTGCCAGTAAATTTGATAACTTCAGGATCTCCAAAGTCTACATCTAGAGACACCAACGACGGAACGAACCCCTTGAACTAGGTTGAACGCAAGATCAAAACACGTTATATATACATACAGTAAATTTAGAACAGCGGAACAGGGTCGAAAAGTCTCTGAAAAGAGCGAAGATTTAAAAGCAAAAACTATATGTGTTTCCCTGTAGCAAGTATAAACAAACTATTTAACTAATTTGCCATAATTCCTTTTTTAACTAAGTTATCAACTATTGTAGCATACTATATAAATATAGGCTTCAATAAAACGTCCAGTATGAATTAGTAACTTATGCTAATTAACTTACCCTGATTTTCATGTTCACCTTTGCCCCATCAAGTTTAGCGCCAATTATTCCGGAAAGGGCACAGCCACAGCTTCCCACTTTGTAGTGGTATGCTAGTGTAGTGTCGATCTGCGACAAACGGTAGTTTAACGAAATTCGACTTTAACATCATTTTTCGGCGGATAATTTCCATATATTTACGTTGTCGTGGGTAAGCTAACACCTTCTTATACATTATCAAATTAAATATAGTTTATTATATGGCATTGACAAGTGTCGTATATACCGAAAAGGCTAGTTAAAACGCTCTACGTTTCGTGAAGACGTTACTGAGCTACCCTATTCAAGCTAGACTTATTTAACAAGTTATCAATCCGTTGGCAAGACCCAACGAGACTGGTTCAGCCTGATATACAGCTGGGGTCAGTAGTCCGTGTGAATACAACTTGGAATAAATTAAAAGTGGGTTCCATATCAAGGAAGAATAGAGAATGGAAGTAACAATGAGGTACAGGTACGCCTGCGAGCTTCGTAATTGCTAGCGAGTCATCTCCACAAACCAAGTGTATGCAACAAATCCCACGGTAAATTTGCGATAGGATGGCATTTACATGTAATACATACATACATACATACATACATACATACCTACATACATACATACATACCATTTTGATACCCATTCCTGCTTCGACTGTGATGGACCCGTCGTCGAGAACTGCCAAAAGAGCATCGGCTGTTCGGCCAAAAGTTGTCAATCCCTTAATCACGATCTAGAGATATTTATGAATTAGGTATTCAATATTATCATTATATGTACATACTGAGGGGTGGAAACACGCTGACTGTAGCATGCACTTCGGTTAAGGCTGTAACAAGACGACAGCTGACAAACGTAATCTTTTAGTAGTAATCACAATCGTCGTTCTATCTCCCCGTAGTAGTTTGATTATTTTCGTGACTCGAATAAGTCTGGGAGGTGCCTAATGATATTGTTTATGACGCTTGAAAGTCCTATGAGATTATTGTTATTATGTCAATCAAGGAACTAGATTGATACATATGTGACGTGATAATAAAGCTTATGATTGTAAAGCACCTGGTTGACGTAGTTTCCTTCTTTGTCAATAGGTATATGCCCTTCGATTTTTAGCGGGTCGATGAGATGTCGAACTTCCGGACACTCCAACAGTTGAGACAGCACAGCGTCGACGACCATGTTAACATTGTTGGTCTGAATTTCAGCTTGCTCAAGGAACAGTGGGCTGTAAACTCCAAATTTGCCTAGACAAAATATAATAACAAAAATACCATTAAAAATGTCGAAATGAAGCCGCTCAACGGACCTAATATTTGAAATGATGAGTGATAATACATGTTGATGTTTACCGGATCTCTTCTGTACTCGAAACTTGGGACGTGGGCTCCGATCACCTTGTTTCTGTGCTCGGCGTTGGATATGGGCCCGACGCTTGGCTTGGATCAGAAATCTATCATGAAATCCATACTCGGCCTTAGTTCGCTTTTCCGCCTGTGCGCTGCGTGCAAATTGGCCATAACGGCCGACCCCGGCCTGATGTTTGGTTCCGATTTCCGCTTCCGTCGATTGCCCAACTTTGTCCTGATAGTTGGCCTGGGTAATGCGCTTATCTTCCCATGTAGCTTGAGCATGGCGTAAAGCTGGCTTTTCCGTTTGTACCTGCTGTTTGACCTGATTTTTGGGGTGAATACAATACTTGACCTCATCGTGCGGCTGGGCTTGGTCTTCAGGCCAGTTTTGGCATGGGGCTTGCTGCCTGTCTTGGTCTTCATCATAAAGCATATCATAAAGCTGAGCTTGCCGCTGTGCATTAAACTGTTGTCTATCTTTGGGTAGTTGCTCATATAGCCTGCGTGGCCTTCGATTTTTGCCAGATCGTTCATTCCTACTTAGTCGTTCATGTTTGGTTGATTCTTCACCTTTGCTTGGACGCCTCGTCTGTCCGCGACGCTCCTTTCGACGCTTTCCTCGACGTTGTCGCTTACGCGGACTCCGCCGTCTAGCCGGTTCTTGGCCTCCACCTAGTAGCTCGCTCTGGTGGTCTTTGACCTGCTCTGACCCATCTGCACATAGCGCAAATGGTACTGAGCCCAAAACACTTTGAAGGATCGGCTCTTGTTCGTCCCAAGTAAGTTCGCTTGTATTGTTATACTGAGATAAAAAAGACAACAAAATTTGTGCATAGAGGCCTTGTGTCTGATTGCCATCTGATGTGCTCATGGCCTGGCACTACAGCCACAGGCTCTGCATATTAGGATGGTCGTAGTCAATTCATAATAACAACGAGGTACGAGACATTTTTTCTAGGAAGCGTGTTACTAGAAACGGGTCATCTGAATGAGGCAATCCGGGTTTACCTCGCAACCCGCGGTTCCTACGTCAAATAGGTTTAATCGCGCTTCGAAAGTGTATTAATACTTGAATCTCTCTTAGTCAACTTTTATTAAAAAGTGATTATTATTAAAAAGTATTAAAAAGTCTGTGTGAAGTATTTCGGTGAATGGTCTCAGTTTGAGCGGTCAAGACCAAGGAACCGAAGTTTCGAAAATGGATCATTTCAAAGATTTCAGGATAATATATTTTTACTGCATTCATGTGTAAAACCCACTAAAACTTGTTTTCGTGCTATTCTTGCCTTAAAGCATTTAGCACTATTGACTAAGTGAAATTCAGGTAACTTCATTATCTATCAGCATTATTAACATATGACACCGTACCACACCTATATGGATTAACATTTCTTTTTTCGTTAAGATATAAGCACGATATGGAGACATCAATGGCATACATAGGGCATCCGAGCCACGTGCCCGTACAGCTTCACATTCTGAGATATCTTCTTTATCCTCTGTGGATCGAGGAGCAATCGTTTGGACCTTTTCCAGAGCCCTGCTTTGAACAACATAAAAAGATCGAATCAGTTGCGGTTACTTTTAAATCGGGTAAAGCAAACATTTCTACAACACTTTTTCAGTCACTGCTTTGTCTAATTATTATGCTTGGGTAAACTATCATCTAGGCTAGGTAATCGCTGAGAAATGAAAGAAGCTTTGTATTATGTCGCCATCGTTAAAGCATATGAGTGTTGCTTGATGGGGCAAATATTGCAACTTACACAGATGTTTAGTCGTTACGTTCGTTACGCTCTCTGCGTTTGTTCCATCTCTATTCAGCTGCATTTTTTAATATTACATTCAACGTAGCGGTTACGTTATTCTTGATTCCATACTTATGTTCACGGGTGTGTGTGAAGTGTGACGTTTTCGAAACTGCATCAGAAGCAACTTGCCGAAGCCGTATCTGGAGAATGACCGCGGATATTGCGATTTCTATTTAGGTCGAGGAATATATTTTGTCTGTTTTTAGCGACCCACGCGACACTAATCAAAGACGTGCTAATAAAACACTTCATTGATGATGATGTCGACAGTTTGATCTGGTTCTTTCTCGATGAGTTCGGGGGGATTCGGGCAGCTATGCATCTCCAGATGAGCTCTTTTCGGCAGCTTCGTTGTGGACCATAAGTTAATGGCGCCACACTAAAATAATAGGTTCCACAAAAGGCCTCGTAAGTTGAAGGATTTACACGTAATAGTTTACGGTGTTTGCAAAAAGTTTAATTAATGTCAGTCAAATATATCCAGTTTAATAGAATGAATAAACTCCGCAAAAATTTAGCAAAGCTTGAATACAGTATTTCGCAAAAAAATAAACGAATGATTCGTTTATTTACGATAGCAGGTTGGGATATAATACAGGTTTTGGGTAGAATATAACTATAGTAACTTGTAATATTTCTAGACGCGATATCCAATATACAAAAACGCACACAAATGTTTTTTTGGTAATACCTTCTATACAAATAGAATGATCGATATCGTACTTAAGCAGGCAGCGTTATTTCCACTGAAGAAAAAAATCATCATTTAACTGGGACTTTTGGGCCAAACAAACTGAACCTGGCCGATCGAGGCATCAATAGAATTTGACATTTCTCCATTATAACTAGACGATTTGAGGAAGTGTTACCTCATCCTTGGTAACCTTAAATCTGACTGTATCAAAACTACTTGTATCGGTTGAAACTTTCAACGCGCTTTTTGTAAGCTCTAATCATACGAACATACACGATATGGATAGAAGTTGACGGTTTAACTTTTTTGTATATAAAAGTATCCCACAACAGCTTCTTGGTAGACTCCCCGAAATTTCCATTCACTCGTTTGGCCACGTTGGAAAGTGGACATAGAGCGACGCAGGACTGGTGTCATTTTTTTTACACTTTTGGCTATTTTTACTGTGTGAACAAGCTCTCTGAGGTATTAGCTAGGGGGTATAGTATCGAAAATTTGTTTGAGTGAATGCATTAATTGTTTTTTTCTTTTGATATTAATTGGATATCGCCAAATGATACATTTATTTCCAATGTTTACTCATGAACTTTCTGTGTTTATCACTTGAATTCATTTTTATGGGTACCTGTGTTAGTGACGTGTGTTGTCGCTACTAGTTTTTAAGACCGTCAATAAAATCTGACGATTGAAGTAGGGGAGTCCCTTCATTTACTAGATTGCTTGATGACCTCTTCATGTCGACCGAATAAAGCTATTGGCTTTTGTGCTATTTTAGCTTGAACCCTTACGGTCCGATCATGTAAACGGGTGCCTGCGCATGTCAGCGTTGTAGTAGGCTCACGAGTCCGTCACCAATAAGCTGTCGGTATCATTATAGTTTGTATTGACACTGTAAAACCACTTAGTGAGCGTGTTCTGGTGCGAAGCTGCGCACGGCATTTAGAAATCGGCTTAATGGTAATCTGTTATGCGGAACGGGTTTGAGAATCCTCATACAAATAAAATGCGTTTTTTATGAGAGACGAAGCAAAAACATTAAATAAACCAATTATAAGCCATTGCGTATAGTATTTTATTCTCATTCGTTTTTGTTTTTTTTATTAAATATTAACGTACGTGCAAACTGTAATAGTGAGAGTCGATTGGACGTTGCTGGATAACAGTAAAGCGTGTTTACGGTTTACACACTACGATCCATGCTTTGTGATACGACTTCATGCAATTAAGATATGGAACACTTAATTCTGCGACGGTTCTAGCAAACACAGGACGCCTATTCTCCGCTTTTTTTGTATAGACAATCGCATGCAGGCCATATCGGAAAGAACCCACCATTAAGTTTGCTCAATCAATACGGGTTAGCTTTAGCAGTTTTTTTTCAGCAACCAAAAACAGTCGCTGTTAATTACGAAGTGATCGATCGTTTTTACCGTTTGTGAAGCACACCGACAATGTGATTTCGCGTAAATTTTTCTGTGATTGCTAAACGGTAACAATTCTATTCACGTATGTTGCGCTAGTGAATATCAAAGGATCTCTTAATATGAGAAAGTACGTTCCCAAAAAACCGTTAACCCCATTTAGGTATGATAGACCGGTTAATCGTCTGTATATCGACAGGTCTGATTTCAGCACTCGATTTTGATGTAGTACGGGTCGAAGATACGAGTCAATGCCTATCGCAATAAGGCGGATAGAGGGAGGCTAGACGAGATAGATGACCAAAAGCTATCAAAGCCTATAATCGTTCCATATTCCCTAGTTATCTAGTATAAACTACAATGGCTTTAATAGCAGCGGGACTGTAATATGAATTAGACGATACTTAATGAAAAACCACAAAACAGTGCGTTTGGTACCCTGTAACATTTTTGACATGTAAGCCGGTAAACAGTCATGATGGAACCTACGTCGAGTGTATTGATGGCTGCAGGATAAAAGATACAGTAAATTATCTATTGATTAGCGGATTAGTAATTAATGCGGTTACAGAAGCGAATCCGACCTTTAAAAGCTCATGATTAGTATCAAAGTTGTACGTGGTCAATTATCTTTCCTTCAATTCATTAGTTTGGACATGATGTATACAACGCTGCGGATTCGGACTGCGACGGAACTTTGGCTAGAGACCCGGTGCGAGATCTAAATACGGAAGAAAATATAATTGAAGCCGCTGAAATTCAAAAGAAAAATACGTTGCTTACAAGCAACATAAATCCTTGACAAAAACAGGCCTTTCTTTGGAAGACTGTACAACGACAGGTCGAAACAAACAGGTAGCTGCTGCTTCTGCAGAGGTAGATAGGCAGACGGTGATGCCAATGATGATTGCATATGTCTATTACTCTATTAATGTCGGAGTTACAGCGGTGACTGTTTGATCATGTAAACGTTTAATATAACCACTTCCACTACTCATACAATGCTGTATTATGGATGCAACGATTGCCTCTGCCCTCGGAAAGTCAACACTGTCGATTTGTATCGCAAAGAGGTGTTGACAACCTGTTTCCATCTCTCTTTTTGTAACTGTTTTTGATAAGCTTGTCCGTATACCACTTCTCATAATGAAATATATGGTAACTGCTTCTTACTCATATATCTTACACCTCTTACAGGGTATACATACATATATATCTTTGACTATTGTACTTTTCCTGCAATCGCAATTAACCGGGGTGACATATATCGTCCACAATTATTACGGTAGTTTTGTTTTTACGATGGGTTTGTCTTACCGCACAACCTTTATTTGCCGATGTTTTATAACGGTTCTTTGGCTTCAATGTTCTATGTCCTGGAAATTGTGCTCGATCATATTTGTTCACTTCTTAGCAGTGTTGTATAATAATATACATCTCAAGACGAACCCGCTCTGTCCTACTCTGCAAGGTCATAGAATCATAATGCTATTGAAGTTGGCGACTCTATTGAAAAAGTTTCGCAGATTCCGTTGGCTGGTAATGCGTACGCTTATCTCCAGAAACCAGTATCCAGTATGGCCCGTCATGACACAACAACGCATTTACAGATCGCACATTAAATTTATGACCATAACGTTTAATATTAATCGTGCCGGGCATGATCTTCGACTCCAGAGCGTAAGACGGAACAAGAACTTTCGTGTGACGAATTGGTACCTGGTCGAAAAAAATTGACGGAGGAACAAAGCGATAAAGAGAATGCCGAGCGCGGTTCAAGCAAGCGAAATGCAGGATGAAGTCTCCAAACGCCGTGAATACAATTTAGATATCGCTAAGGAGCTTGTCCATCCACGTATTGAGACTTCGTTTGTCGTTAAATATATAGTTATTACTTTCATTTGCTGAAGATCGGGAAAAATGGTCAGCTGTAGGCGCATGGTCTGAATGGCGTATTGCAAAAGAGCTCCGCTTAAGCTCTTCCAGGCCGGCTTCTACAATGTTTGCTATGTGCGGCCTCACATCGCTTCGGGCAAAAGTGACTTCGCCTCGGCTATCAGCTTCTTTCTGTTGGATAGCTTCGTTTGATTGAAGCAACTAGGCCATATGCAGATCTTTATTGACCATCTTACTCTTTGTAAGCATTGCACGATATAGAGAGCACACCAATTCCGTTCACGTAACCCAGGACATACACAGGCTTTGAATTTTTGGTAAAATTCTGTGCATTCAAGATGTTTTACAGTCTGATGCTCTTGAGTTGGCCCCTCAGTTAATTAATGAGTTGTTTGCCCTATGGGATTTTCATCGAGCTCGGGTGGTCGATCGTGTTATATGACATAAAATACATAGAACTTA